GGCAAAAGAAAAATCAAAACAACAGGAAAGCAATTCACAAACTGACGAAAACAAGCTAATCAATAATCCAAGATACATTACAGAATATGTGAATCTCAGAGAAATCCTATACAACATTTATGTTTACAAGATCAATCGTAAACACACGTTATGTTGTTAATTACCTCAAGGTGTAGCTATCTAGTTTTCACATCAACATGAGTTTCAATCAAAGTCTGCCACTTCAATCAGAGGCATATGTTCAAAATTTAGAGCCAACACAGAAAAACACAAGTCAGATCACAATGAAAACCAATCTGAATGAGATCACACTCTTTTAACTATCACATCATTTTAAGTAACTCCAAAGCCACAAATTCGAATTTTACTTTAACTCAACCTAACAAGCTCTAAACCTTTAGAACAACAGATCGAGCCATTGTACAATACACCCTAATCTCTCTAGTATATGAATAAAGGGATTACCTTGGTACCCCGAAATCTTGAAACAACTGTTATCCCAATATTTGTGATGTTGAATGAAGAAGCAGAAATCTAGATAGACAAAATCCACTGTACAAGTGAAAACAGAAAAATCTAGACCACTTAGCTAATCAATTAAAAACACAGCAAGTTAATCTCTCTAGTGAGGAAGGCAAATACCGTTTTACTTCTTATTAAGAACATCTATCTCTTTATTGGAACAAGTTACACTCGTTTCCTTTTTGTTAGATACTTATCTTCACATTCGACCATACTAAAAGTGACATTTTGCTGAACCAAAATAAACTCAACAAGCTTCCATATACGTTCGATACAGCCACATGACCTTACACAAGTTCAGAAATTTGAGAAAAAAGGTTAGTATAAAGTTTTTTTTAGAAAGAGAGTAGCTAGTGAGAGAATTATCTCCCTTCTCTCTTCCATCTCAAAGTTCGTCCTAGCCGCAGCTCCACCTCCTCCCCATTTTTGCCTCTCCGCCGTCCGGTTTAAAGAGGCCTCGCCTTCACGTTTTGCTCCTTCCCGGCTCTTCATATGTATCTTTAATTCATATGAGATTCTGACGGATTGCTCTTAGTCTATAGGTTGGCGGTGGATCCGGTTGAGATCTTATCACATCTTTATCAACGAGATCTGGGCTTGTCCCTCTTCATGTTCTTCTCGCGGTGGTCTTGGCGGAGTGCTCGAAGTGGCTTGGTTTGCTGTGGAGTCGTGATGGCGGTTTGTAGTCACGGTGGTGGTCCAGCGGTGAGTGGTACTTTGGATGAGGTTTCTCGGATGTGTCTTTCTCTCGTCAGATCTGCTTGGAGATGGCGAATGTAAAGTTTGCTGCAGTTTTCACGGCTTCTCTTTCTCCAACATTTCCTTTCTCCCTCTTCCGGTGGTCTTGCTATCACATTTTATGTAGTGACTTATATATTCTCTGATTGGTTCCTTGCCTTCCTTGTCTTGTCTTTCATTTGGTGTTCAGTGTCGTTGAGGTGGATCTAGTATCTGTTTTGGATCCAGTTGTAACGCCCCGACCGCCGTCGATCTATCGGTATGTAGGGGAAATCCTCATCCCCTAACATACAAGGGAAATCATCATCCCTTCTGGAGAAATCTTCAT